ATGAAAAGCTTACGTATCATATGTCATTGTCTGTGATTGAGGATTTACAAATTTGACGCAAAACGCGTTGCTGCAAAGTTAAAGATTGGTTTATTGAAAGGCAATCGAGCACAGTACGACCGATCCATTGACATTGTGTATGAGAGAGTAATTTTTTTTAAATGGATTGTAAAGTTCAACGTCAAAGTGACGGAGGTTTTTTTTCAAGTAAGGGCATGGTTTTACATGGAATGTAAAGGAAATGTTTCCTTCTTCTCATATCTCGATTGAGGATATTATTCTCAATTTCGATTTTTAATGGTAAAGAAAAGTGTAAAAAGATGTCGAGAATTTTACCATATGTCATGTAATATAAAATGCGCGCGGGTCGGTTGATCTCCCAAAAGGAGCGCGAAGGAATTGATATGAAGGCCAGTGTCACAAATAAGTTATCAAATTATGCTCATCTGACTGTAATGAAATGCCTAAAACCCCTGAGATTCATGGGGCTCCGCCCCTGGACCCCACGCTAATGTACGCTCCACTTGCTTTGCTCGCTTCGTAAATACCTTAGCCCCCCACACTTTGAAAAAACGTTCCCAGAGCCTGCGTAACATATAAGAGTGGTGGTGATGCAACATTTTTCTACCCCCCCCCCCCCCCCCCCGCCAAACGTTTTTGCTCATTACGCCTCTGCTCCCTCGACGGCGTCCCTCGCATTTCGTCCCCCCCCCCCCCGCATATCAATTCCTTTCATAGCAAAAGCGCTCCTCACAATTTCTGTAAATTTGGCAGTTTTATGGAAGCAGGAGACCGTCAAAAACATGGATATACGTCGTGTCGTAATTCGAATTGCCACACTACCTAAATAATTACGTCGTGTAGTAATTGAATTGCCACACTACCTAAATAATTACGTCGTGTCGTAATTCGAATTGCTACACGACGTAATTCCGAATTACTGCCCAACGATTTAACGTCATGACGTTAAATGAATTAACTACACGACATTAAATAATTAAGGTCGTGTAGCAATTCAAATTACTACACGACCTAAATAATTACGTAGTGTCGTAATTCGAATTAACACACGACCTAAATAATTACGTCGTGTTGTAATTAATTACTGCTCAACGATTTAACGTCGTGTAGTTAAATCATTTAACGTCGTGTAGTTAATTAATTTAACGTCGTGTAGTTAAATCAACCAATGAGGTCTTTCGTAATATATGCGATGCGAAGATCATATTTGCGCGCCAAAAATATGTATACGATGCGCGTTCGTGCGCGCTATAGTAGTGGCCGGTCTTCGCATCGCATATATTACGAACGGTCTCATTGGTTGATTTAACTACACGACGTTAAATGAATTAACTACACGACGTTAAATGATTTAACTACACGACGTTAAATCGTTGAGCAGTAATTAATTACAACACGACGTAATTATTTAGGTAGTGTAGCAATTCGAATTACTACACGACGTAATTATTTAGGTCGTGTAGTAATTTGAATTGCTACACGACCTTAATTATTTAACGTCGTGTAGTTAATTCATTTAACGTCATGACGTTAAATCGTTGGGCAGTAATTCGGAATTGCGTCGTGTAGCAATTCGAATTACGACACGACGTAATTATTTAGGTAGTGTGGCAATTCAAATTACTACACGACGTAATTATTTAGGTAGTGTGGCAATTCGAATTACGACACGACGTATATCCATGTTTTTGACGGTCTCCTGCTTCCATACAGTTTAACGCTACGCGTACCGCCTTGACCGGACTGTGCGGTATCTGTGCAGTTCTGTGTGTAGAGAGGTCGGGCTGTATTCATTATTTCTTGGGGGTGCATAAATTGCTCTAATTATACGTACGCGTGTAATGCGCAAGTTTATTGTGACGGCACTAAACCCATCCCACTCATTGTTACCCTATTTTCATAATGGTACTGACCCAATGAAATGTAGTGCAGTGCGCTCGTACGCGCTGCGCTGCGTGTGTACATGTACTGTACTATGCATGTTCAGTTATATGTGTATGCATAGCATGCATTACGTACATGCATACGGCTAGCTGGCACAAAACCCTGGGTCGGGCTTCTAAAATGGGACATGAAGCATGATTTGACATGAAAAATGACGGAGCTAAAAATGAATCAATCAAAATGAAATTTATATGTATGAAAAGCTTACGTATCATATGTCATTGTCTGTGATTGAGGATTTACAAATTTGACGCAAAACGCGTTGCTGCAAAGTTAAAGATTGGTTTATTGAAAGGCAATCGAGCACAGTGCGACCGATCCATTGACATTGTGTATGAGAGAGTAATTTTTATGCCTCCGTTACGAAGTAGCCGGAGGCATTATGTTTTCGGGTTGTCCGTCCGTCCGTACGTACGTACGTACGTACGTCTGTACGTACGTACGTCCCGTTCTCGTGATCGCGTTATCTGAAGAACTGGTTGATGGATTCCTGCCAAACTTTGGTCATGTATGTATCTTGTAGAGCCGATGAACTGATTAGATTTTGGGGTTACGAGGTCAAAGGTCAAAGGTCACAGGGCTCATTATGTATGCAAAACGAGCTCGTGATCGCGTTATCTGAAGAACTGGTTGATGGATTCCTGCCAAACTTTGGTCATGTATGTATCTTGTAGAGCCGATGAACTGATTAGATTTTGGGGTCACGAGGTCAAAGGTCAAAGGTCACAGGGCTCATTATGTATGCAAAACGAGCTCGTGATCGCATTATCTGAAGAACCGATTGATGGATTGCTGCCAAACTTAGGTCATGTATGTTACTTGCAAAGCCAAAAAACTGATTAGATTTTGAGGTCACGAGGTCAAAGGTCAAAGGCCACAGGGCTCATTATGTATGCAAAACGAGCTTGTGATCGCGTTATCTGAAGAACCGATTGATGGATTGCTGCCAAACTTAGGTCATGTATGTTACTTGCAGAGCCGATGAACTGATTAGATGTAGGGGTCACAAGGTCAAAGTTCAAAGATCACAGGGCACATTATGTATGCAAAAACAGCTCGTGATCGCGTTATCTCAAGAACCGATTGATGGATTCCTGCCAACTTAGGTCATGTATGTTTCTTGCAGAGCCAATGAACTGAGTAGATTCTTGGTTCATAAGGTCAAAGGTCATGGGCTCATTATGTATGCAAAAATAGCTTGTAATCACAATATTCTGAAAACCTGTTAATGGATTACAATTGAACTTGAATTTGAAAAATTTCTTCTGTTTTGGTTTGTAAAATTGCTCTATGACGGAGGCATCATTTTCGACTGCGCGCAGTCGAAGTTCCATCTAGTTTTTAAATGGATTGTAAAGTTCAACGTCAAAGTGACGGAGGTTTTTTTTCAAGTAAGGGCATGGTTTTACATGGAATGTAAAGGAAATGTTTCCTTCTTCTCATATCTCGATTGAGGATATTATTCTCAATTTCGATTTTTAATGGTAAAGAAAAGTGTAAAAAGATGTCGAGAATTTTACCATATGTCATGTAATATAAAATGCGCGCGGGTCGGTTGATCTCCCAAAAGGAGCGCGAAGGAATTGATATGCCGGTGGAAATCGCCGCCTCTGGGGATCTTCGGTTAACTTTTATTTTACTTTTTATTTACCGTCGGGTGTATTCTCGTACTATCACGGAAGAGGTATTTGTTAACTTGGAAGAGTTATACTTACACAAACAAAAAGGTACGCCTGCGCCCCCCCCCCCGACATCGACAACAGGGAAATTAGTTTACTTTAATTGGAGGGATATCTATTCTATCACAGAAGGGGTGTTTTTTCAGGACCACCAACGGCCGGCTCCGGTTTCTACTGTTACATCTTTATAATCAATCGGTTCCACGTCACTGATTGGAAAATTGGCAGTATATACAAACAAATCATCTCAACTATTCAAATTGCTTGGGCTCTGGACAACGGGTAGTCAATGTAGGTGTTCGGGTTGTCTCGGGCCGAGTGTACGAAGGGTCGAGTTGTCTATGCCGTCTGCCATTGTCAATGCATGCAATGCGTATATCGCCTATATGAATCCGGGCTAACTCGGCCCACGGGACTACTCGGCCCAGCTGGAAAAACTGGGCCGAGATGTCCCGACCTGATTAATCGATCGAGAGATACCAATGTGTATATGTTTGTGCTCTTTGTGACTTAATAATGCCCTTTCCAACCAAAATCTTTAATGGAATTGTGTTAAATGATACTAATGAAGACAATCTATGACTTATCTTTAGGTAAAATGACAAAAAAATGACATTTCGGACAATTTACTCACAGCTCGCAATCCGCATTGCCGCACGTACATTAAATGTGCGTTGTATCTACTCGGACCACTGAAATTCGAGCAGTGTTTTTGTCGGTAAATCACTGCAAAAATATCATTTTTATCTCGTATGAAGGTCTATTTTTTATTCCTGACACAGATTTCATTATTGCGAAGTCGAACATAGTACATTTTAGACTAGATGGTTGATGTTTGTTCACATTCTTTCGTCCTGGCCGTAAATTAGCAGACTACTGCCTAGTGCTACCGCAGCAGCTCAGCTCAGTGTGCAGCTAGCCGTACAGCGCCACCGGCCGGGTCGGCGGGGGAATTCACTGACTCGTGCCGGGCTGCTGCACTGCATTGCATGATTGTACTGCCCAATTTGATCGAGTGATGTGTGAGTGTTATATCTTATGATCAGAACTATATTTCATCATGCATATTCACATGTAACACATTACGCACCAATTGTAAACGTACGCATGCACGTATCACTCCGCAGACAACCCGACAAACATGGAGTAAATAAATACACAGTAAACCTGAACATCACGTCTAACTTGGCTACTTTATTGACTCGTATAGAACACATAAAGACATAACATGGTGGCAGCGGTAAACCATAACCAGAAAACAGTGCCTTTGTTGTGATTCAGGAACTAAATATGCTCGAAAATTGACATTTCTAGCATCGATCGTCAGCGTCTTCGGACTCCGGCGAAAAATCCAAGATGGCGGCCGCCAGTGCTGCAGCCGCAATGAATCTTCATCCTGCGATGAACTGGGACGCCGACGATGTGGTGGAAGCATTCAAGAAATTCAAACAGAAAAGTCAACTAGCATTCAAGAGCTTCCTGAAAGGTTCAACAACTGAGGAACAGGTCAGTTATATCCTGTTATGGTCTGGAGAAAGGGGATTAGACCTGTACAATAGTTGGGACATGCCAGAGCCCGACTGCAATGATCCAATAAAAGTCCTAGAAAAATTCGAAACACATCTAGAGCCTAAATCAAATCACAGGATCCGTAGATATGAATTTCAGAGCCTCAGGCAAGAGCCACAAGAAACAGTTGACAATTTCCTAGCCAGGCTGAAGAATGTTGCAAGTAAATGCAAATTCAAAGATGAGGAAGAGAGGCTTGTAGACCAATTCATATGGGGATGTGTGCATCCAGAAGTCCAAAAGATGCTCATAGGCAAGGATGCTCTCAAGTTGAAAGATGCAACAGACACCGCTAGAGCACACGAAGCGACGAAAAAACAGATGGCCACACTCTCGCCCCAGGCCTCCAGCAAGATAGATGTTGTCTCAAAGCAGCCATGGCAAAAGAGCCAACAAACTTGCAGAAATTGTGGACTGGTTCATAGCTTTGACGACCGACAGAAATGTCCAGCATTCGGGAAGGAATGCAGAGCGTGTGGAAGGCTTCATCACTGGGAAAAGAAATGCAGGTCAGGCAAACCAGACAGAAAGACCCAATTCCAGAAGAGTGATAGAAAGAAAGCTAACAAATTCAAACGTAAAGAAATACATGCTCAACAAGAGGAAGATGACACATCAGAGGATGAATTCTTGTCAGTGGGCATGATCAAAGTCCATGAGATGGAGAGTAAGAACAGCGACGAGGATGATGAGGCATACAGTACAATCCAAATTCAAAAGAAAGTGGGCAAGAAACGAACATTCATCGATCTGAGGGTAAAAGTTGACACCGGAGCCCAGAGTAACCTTTTGCCTATCAGCCTCTATAGCAGGATGTTTCCAGAGCACATGGCACAAGCTGACAAAATCAAAGACGGAATCCTCACTCCCAGTAAGGTAATTCTGACTGCATATGGAGAGCACGTTGTTCCACAACTGGGCAAAGCAACAATTGCAGGGAAACACAATGAAAAAGAGGTTAACTGTACCTTCTATGTGGTCAAAGCAGAAGGACCTGCAATCCTCGGACTAAGCAGCTGTCGAAAGCTCAAAATTGTAACGCTGAACCTTGCAGTCGTGACATCATCACCCAGAATCGACAAAGACATGCCAATAAAGGACAGGCCTCCTATCAGAAGCAAAGCCGAGTTGATCAATATGTACCCAGAATGCTTTGATGACACAGTCGGTTGCTTTGACTACCAATACCACATAACAGTTGATCCAAATGTGCAACCGGTGGTCCACCCGCCTCGCCGTGTTCCCCTGGAGTTGAGGGAAAGACTGAAGACGCAACTTGAGGAGATGGAAGCCAAAGGCATCATCACTAAAGTCACACAACCAACTGACTGGGTAAACTCGATCGTCGTGAAGGAAAAACCAAATGGCAAGCTTCGCATATGTCTAGACCCAAAAGACCTGAATAAGGCGCTTAAACGTGATCACTACCCTACTCCGACCCTTGAAGAAATTACACCTTCATTGGCTGGGTCCAAAGTCTTCAGTAAATTGGATGCCAGCAACGGGTATTGGAACATAAAGATCACTGAAGAGTCGTCTATGCTCACCACTTTCAATACACCCTTTGGGAGATTCCGATTCAACCGTCTTCCATTTGGGTTGAGGGTCAGTCAAGACGTCTTTCAGAGACAGATAGACGAGACATATCAAGGCTGCAAAGGAGCAGTGGGGATAGCTGATGACATACAGATCTATGGAAAGGATGAAACCACACATGACTACAATCTTCACGAGGCTATGGAGAAGACCAGGAGAGCAGGCATCAAGCTCAACGTAGATAAATGTGTGATCAAAGAGGATGAGTGCAAGTTCTTTGGGTTGATCTACTCTGCAAACGGAGTGAAGCCAGATCCTGCAAAAGTGGAAGCGATCAACCACATTGAAGCTCCCAAAGACAAGAAAGAGCTGAGAAGCTTCCTGGGCCTCATCCAATACATGGGTATCTTCATACCCAAGCTTGCCGATCACACTGCCAATCTCAGAGAACTGATGAAAGAGGACGCTGAATATGCTTGGTGTGCTTCACACACCAAGGACTTGAATGCAATCAAGCAACTCATCAGCAAAGAGACAACTTTGCAGTACTACAACAGACACAAACCAGTAGTGTTGCAGGTTGATGCCTCTATGAAAGGAGTTGGTGCAGCATTGATGCAAGAGGGCAGACCTGTAGCCTTTGCATCGAAAGCTCTCACATCAGCAGAAACAAGGTATGCAAACATCGAAAGAGAGCTCTTAGCTGTAGTATACGGCTGTGAAAAATTCCATACATACCTTTATGGCCGAAGTTTCATCATTGAATCTGACCATCGCCCTCTTGAGCAGATAGACAGAAAGAACCTCACTAAAGCACCAGCCAGGCTGCAGAGGTTACTATTGAGACTACAAAGCTATGACTACAGCATCACCTACAAGCCAGGAAAGGACCTACTACTGGCGGATGCTCTATCCAGACTGTCACCACATGACAAACATGAGATGGATGGACTGAGTGTTAAGATCCATCACATTGTGAGTGTGACAAACAACAAGCTGGACGAAATCAGAGACAAAACCAGCAGAGACGAGGAGCTCCAGCTACTCGCCCAGACAGTCACGCAGGGGTGGCCAGAGAAGAGACACCAAGTACAACCCCTCATTCGAGAATACTGGGCCATCCGCGATGACGTATCAGTGGAGAATGGAGTACTGATGGCAGGATCTCGAATAATCATACCCCGAACCATGCAACAAGAGATCCTTACTAAGATCCACCAGGGACACCTAGGTATGGAGAAATGCAAACTCAGAGCAAAATCAGCAGTGTACTGGATAGGCATGTACAAGGACATAGAAAAAACGGTAACTGCATGCCACACCTTCCAAAAGTACAGAAACTCTCAACAGAAGGAGGAGATGATACCTAGTCACATCCCAAGCAGGCCATGGCAGACCATAGGAGTAGATCTGTTCACAGAAAACCAAGAATGGTATTTGATATTGGTCTGCTACTACTCCAAATTCCCATTCGTGAGAAAGGTGAAGGACTTGAAAGCCACAACAATAACTTCCGTGGCTCGAGGATTATTTGCAGAACAAGGGATACCAGAACAGATTATCTGTGACAACGGAACCCAATTCACTTCTCAGGAATTCAAGAAGCTAGCCACTGAGTATGGGTTCACGATTACGACTTCCTCACCATACTATCCCAAAGGCCATGGGTTTGTGGAAAGACAAGTGCAGACAGCAAAGAAAACACTGATCAAGTGTAGAGAAATGAAAGAAGATCCACATCTGGCACTTCTGTCCTTGCGAGCAACACCACTGAAGGCTGATATGAAATCCCCAGCAGAGATGCTGAATGGCAGGAAGTACAAAACCACTCTGCCAACAAGGATTCAAGGTCCTATTGACCAAGAGGAGACAAGAGCCAAGCTAGAAGCAGCCCAAGCAGAAGGACAGAGGCACTACAACAAACATGCACAAAACTTACCTGAGCTTCTTGATGGACAAAATGTGCATGTTCAAGACCCAATATCCAAATTATGGATCCCAGCAAAGATCATCAGCAAAGCCGAAACTCCAAGGTCCTACATCATCGAGACGGAGACTGGCAGGCAGCTGAGACGAAACCGGGTCCACATCCGCCCAACACCTACAACTCCAGTAGCAACACCTACAACACCACTAGCAACACCAACAACATCATCTGCAACTCCCGCAGCAAGTACAACAACAGCACCTGAAATAGATGACAACGCTAACAATACACGCACCACCAACCAGATGACACCACAACAAGGGACAACCTCTGGACAGAATTCATCCCAACAACCAAGCGCTACAGCAACACCACAGGCACCGCAGACCACAACACAGTCAACTAGGTGGAGAAGCAACATCTTGCCACCAACGCGTTACCGCTAGTTTTGGAAAAGAAATATCAAGCACAGAGGATGGATGCAGATAGGCTAGTTATGTTAGGAAGCAGATTACCAAGTCATGGGCAGAATAATCCCATGGTATCTGCTATAGGATTGTCACCCTCGCTCTGGCAATCCAATAGTGTTTATAGAAATAGTGTTTTTAGTGAGTTTTCATGTTAGGAAGCAGATTACTATAATGTGGGCAGAATAATCCCACGGTATCTGCTATAGGATTGTCACCCTCGCTCTGTCAATCAATAATGTTAAAATAGGCTGTTTCATTCTTTTACATTTTTGATAAGTGTTATCACAAAGTTATTATAGTTGAGTTAGTCAGGAGCTGATTTTAGGACTATTCGCAAAGTCTACATTACCAAAGTCTAACAGGACACAGCAAACTCTGAACTTTTGAACTCATTGAACCATTTCATCTTACAGGAATTCATTTTAAAGATAAACCCAGAAAGGCTTATTTTTATTAGAAAGGGGGATGTTATATCTTATGATCAGAACTATATTTCATCATGCATATTCACATGTAACACATTACGCACCAATTGTAAACGTACGCATGCACGTATCACTCCGCAGACAACCCGACAAACATGGAGTAAATAAATACACAGTAAACCTGAACATCACGTCTAACTTGGCTACTTTATTGACTCGTATAGAACACATAAAGACATAACAGTGAGTATAACTAATCAAACTAGATCTAGAAGAGGTCTATATCTACTGTATTATCATTATTCATTCCGAGTAGAATATCCAATTTGATTTAGTGAGTAAACTAGACCTATATCTACTGTAGCTACATCATTATCATATACTAGATTACTAGATTAGTCATTCAGAGTAGAATATTCGATTAATGAAGGAAGGGAATTTTTCTTTTTCATAATCAGATAATCATATTTTACTCCTAAAAGTTAAAGACTTGATAAATAGCTAGATCTCTCGTAAGGGCCTAGCCTAGTACTGTAAGAGAAGTGAGCTGAAGAATCACCTTCTTTTTTTTTATTTTGGAGGGGCAGGCGCGTAGCCAGGGAGGGGGGGGGGGGCGGTCGCCCCCCCCCCCCCCAAAAAAAAAAAAGGAAAAAGAAAAAGGAAGAGGACGTAGGAAAAAAAGGATTAAGAGTCGAGAACGGTACAACGAATCGTCTTCTTTCTCTAATTATTTAATGAAACATCAAAGCTTCCGCGCGGAAAAGGGGGGACGGAACTGAATTCAGATAAGGATAAAGAGTCGAGAACGGTACAATGAATCGGGGTCCAGACAACTCGCCACAAAGACAACCCGCCCCAAGACAACCCGCCACAATACCCTGGACATCCCGCCACAATACCCTGGACAACCCGCCACAATACCCTGGACAACCCGCCACAATACCCTGGACAACTCGCCACAGCTTTTTCGGACAACTCGCCACACTTTTTCCCATCATGATTTCTAGATCTAAAATGAAATGAAATTGTAATTTTTCATGATTTTCGTGCTTTTATAAACACAGTCATTACAAAGAATAAAGTTGATTTAATTCCCTTGTAACACTGGCGTACCTATGGGGGGGGGCAGGGGGGCAGAGTGCTCCCCCCCCCTGACGGGCTCCAGAGGAAAAAAAGAAAAAGGGGAAAGAAAAGAAAAGAAAGGGAAAGGAAAGAAAAAGAAAAAAGGAAAAGGAAAGAAAAAAGGAAAGAAAGAGAAAAAAGGAAAAAAGGAACGAAAAAAGGAAGAAGAGAAAAGGAAGAAAAAGGGAAAAGAAAAGGAAAGGAATAAAAATGGGGAAAAAAAATAAAGAACATGGCCGTAAGCACCGGGGGGGGGGGGGGCAGTTGACCCCAGATATTTTGAAATCGTACAGTTTTTTTCCTGAAAATGTAGTGTAGGCCTATACCAAATCCTTCAATTCTACTTTTGAAAATGCAAAAGTACCCTCATGACCAGGTCGGTCGCTCGAACTCCCTTCACTCCTTTTGCTTTTGAGATTCTTCGAAAACTTTTAACGCATCTTTCCCCCTTCCCCCATCAGAAAAATATTCCGCATACGGCCCTGAAAAATTAAAACAAATGAAAATAGGAAAATATAAGTGATATAACAAATTTGAAACTCTTCGCTGGCGCGAACTGCTTGCTAGCCTATTTTGTATTAAATGTTTTCACTTCCTCGTCCCCCTGAAAAAAGAAAAGGATTAGTATTGCCTAGAATACAATTGTGCCTGCCCCGACGGGCCCCGACCTGCAACCATGGCAACAATAACACACAATATATGTACCAAATGTTACTAAAAGAGACTAATTCATTTTTCTCGCTCGCGAATAAAATGAATAGACATTGCTTTGGAAACAATTGTGCCCACCCTTGACCTGCAACAATATCATTAAAAATGGAAGAGTTTTTTCGCCCTCTCGCCAAAAAGGAATTGAATCGCGTTAAACGCGATTGCGTCCATCTTGACCTGCACCAATAAAAACAAATTTATTTATTAATTTCTATTAAAAGAGAATTTATTTTTTTTGCTTGCTCGCTATGCTCGCTCGCCAAAATGGAATTGACACAGCTAACGTGCCCGCCCCAACCTGCAACAACCAGTTAATAATTATGAAACGTTATTCAAAGAAGTTTTGGTGTGCTCGTGCTCGCCAAAACGGAATTAACATCACCTTAGACATGATTGTGTAAGCCCTGCCCTGCAACAAAAAAATGTGAAATTTATGAACCAATTAGAGATGGAGATGATGAGAGGGATGGAGACGGTGTGAGGGATGGAGATAATGAGAGGGAAGGAGACAATGAGAGGGATGGAGATGGTGAGAGGGATGGAGATGGTGAGAGGGATGGAGATGGTGAGAGGGATGGAGATGGTGAGAGGGATGGAGATGATGAGAGGGATGGAGATGGTGAGAGGGATGGAGATGGTGAGAGGGATGGAGATGATGAGAGGGATGGAGATGATGAGAGGGATGGAGATGATGAGAGGGAAGGAGACAATGAGAGGGATGGAGATGATGAGAGGGATGGAGATGGTGAGAGGGATGGAGATGATGAGAGGGATGGACATGATGAGAGGGATGGAGATGATGAGAGGGAAAGAGACAATGTGAGGGATGGAGATGATGAGAGGGATGGAGACGATGAGAGGGATGGAGACAATGGGAGGGATGGAGATGATGAGAGGGATTGGTGAGGGATGGAGGTGATGAGAGGGAAGGAGACAATGTTGATGATGTAAGGGATGAAGATGCTGTTGATGAGAGGGATTGGTGAGGGATTGAGACGGTGTGAGGAATGAAGATGATGAGAGGGATGGAGATGATGAGAGGGATGGAGACGGTATGAGGGATGGAGACTGTGTGAGGGATGGAGACAGTGTGAGGGATGAAGATGATGGGAGGGATGGAGATGGTGACAAGATGGTGAGAGGGATGGAGACGATGAGAGCGATGGAGACGGGAGGAATGGAGACGTCTCCATCCCTCTAATCATCAATATCGTCTTCATCCCTTACATCATCAAAATTGTCTCAATCCCTCTCATCGTCTCCAATTCTCCATCCCTCACATCGTCTCCATCCCTCTCATCATCTCCATCCCTCACATTGTCTCCATCCCTCTCATCACCTCCATCCCTTTCATTATCAATATCGCCTCCATTCCTCTCCAAGCGCGTAGCCAGGATTTCATTTTAGGGGGGGCGGTAGTGAGCACGCGAAGCGTGCGAATCACTTACAGAGCGCGCGTAGCGCGCTCCCTAGGGGAGGGGGGAGTTTCCCCCCTTCCTCGCGAAGCGCGAAAGCTTTGAGGTTTCATTAAATTATAAGAGAAAGAAGACGATTTGTTGGACCGTTCTCGACTCTTAATCCTTATCTAAATTCAGTTTCTGTTGACGTTTCATTAGAGAAAGAAGACGATTCGCTGTACCGTCCTCGACTCTTAATCTTTGTTTGAATCAAGTTCCCCTGCCTCCGCGCGTAGCGCGGAAGCTCTGAAGTTTTATTAGATTATTAAAGAAAGAAGACGATTCGTTGTACCATTCTCGACTCTTAATCCTTATCTAAATTCAGTTTCTTTTGACGTTTCATTAGAGAAAGAAGACGATTCGTTGTACCGTCCTCGACTCTTATTCCTTTTCTTGTATCAAGTTCCCCTTCCTCCGCGGAAGCTGTAGCGCGGAAGCTCTGAAGTTTTATTAGATTATTAAAGAAAGAAGAAGATTCGTTGTACCATTATCGATCGACTCTTAATCCTCGTCTGAATTCAGTTCCCCCCCCCCCCTCCCCTCCCGCGGAAGCTTTGACGTTTCATAAATTATTAGAGAAAGAAGACGATTTGTTGTACCGTTATCCTTATCTGAATTCAGTTCCCCCCCTCCCCTCCCGCGCGAAGCGCGGAAGCCTAGACGTTTCATTAAATTATTAGAGAAAGAAGACGATTCGTTGTACCGTTCTCGACTCTTAATCCTTTTTCTTCCTACGTCCTCTTCCTTTCTTCTTTTTTTCTCTCTTTTTTTTTGGGGGGGGGGGGGGCCGGCGTTTTTTTTTTTGGGGGGGGGGCGACCGCCCCCACCGCCCCCCCCTGGCTACGCGCCTGTTCCTCTCATCATCTCCATCCCTCACCAATCCCTCTCATCATCTCCATCCCTTACATCATCAACATTGTCTCTATTATGTATTATGCCACGTTGTGGAAATGCAATTTTATTTTTGTATTCATTATTTATTTATAGTATGTACATATTTACAGGTACACAAGATCAGATATAAATTTGTTTACCCCCAGCCCCCCCCCCAAAAAAAAAATTGTAACATGCAGATGACACGCCACACCATTCCTTGTGTTGTGGTATTGGTAGTGTTATTTCATATGCAATTTACAAGGCAAAAAAAAATCTAAATAAATAAAGTTAAAACAATTAAATAAAAATGAGGACATGTTTGAAAAACACACATAATAGCAATAAACATTATTTGTTTACGACTCCAAGATACAAATTCCAACAA